GGAAAGGGAGCTTAAATGCCATGGTCTTGTTCGCGAAACGTAACTGCGTGTTACGTATTGCGTAAGAAACCGACATAGACGCTGAAATCCTCGAAGATATGTTCCAGTGAACATTTGATATGTATTATATAAATCACTGGCTTAACGACACTGTTTCATAATTTTGGCATATTTAACGCTAAGCCTACCGAGCAATAAAAGTAACTGACGTGTGTTATGTACTCTTCGAGAATGATAAGATTGAATTTATTTCGACTTTTCGCCGTATTTATCGTAATGTTGTTCGAATTGAGAAATCTGTCTAGTCAATTTTTATAAAAGAGCCGCAATAATGTTGTCGATCGAAAAATAAAATATGTGAAAACCGTTGAAACGGCAGACATGGTAGGATCAGTGTAAGAATAAATTCGTGTATAATTTTAGTATAAATTTGTTCGAACAAGAACAGATTTTAATGCAAACTGGGTCCTCGATAATTTTATTAAATTATTTCTTAGAACCAAAACAGGAGAGTCAAATTTCTCCGCGAAATTTTGGTTACGGACCGATTTCATGCTAAAATATTTGCAATGTATGTATTTGCGTGTACGATGTGTATAAAATAGTAGACACGTTTCATTTGCTAAAGATATTTTGCGGGGAATTTATTATCATTAAACTCAACCACTTTACGACCACATGAGGGATATCCTGCGACCAGATGTCCTTGCTCTAATGCTAGCAACAAGATATCTCGTACATATTTTTGTTCTCACTAGATTACGAGTTATTCCATGATCGATCTGTACGATAATCAAATTGTAATTGATATTTAATGAAAAAATTCATTAGATTATAATACAGCTTTACAGAGAAGGGAAAAGCAGTAGTCGAGTCACGCTCATTTATTTCTTAGTATTGTAAAGGACAGTGTGGAACCGGTTTCATTCTATTTCTGTTTTCGATAGAAAAAATTCTCCATGAGATAATTATGCATTGTATATCGAGTTCTATTATCGAGCAGATCGATGCTCTACAGAGATGTATCGGAACAGTTGCAAAGAGCAATTACATTTGAATTTTCCAAAAATTTTAACAGGATATATTAATCTGCAAAATTCTCATTTTTATAAAATACACTATACTTGCATAAAGATTTGTCATTTAATAAGCGTGCAGGAATGTGACGTATATAATAATCAGTAAAAACAAAGTGACACCGTTTTATTAAAAAATAAATTCATGGCAATAAAAGGTAGGTAAAATTGAAAATTCTGAAAAAATTAATTGAAAGAAATTAAGAATGTTGGTATACCAATTTCAACTTATTAAAATTATCACAGAAACAAATAAAATTATACTTGGCTCGTTTGTCTTGCAATTGACACAGACAATATTTATTTTGCATAAAAATAGTCTAGATGTTAAATACACAATGTTTCGCAAAAATTAAATGGTGAAGAGTTCGAATCCATTCAGTCATGTATAATATTTTGTCATCTCTCATTTAGCAACAAAGTAGTAGACAATATCTTAATTAAAATTTTCAGAATTAAAGGCAAGATACTGTAGCCAAGTAATAGTTTGTTACTTGCTATAAACATTTTAATAAGTTGACGATAATGATCCTGTTAAATTCGTTCGATCCTTTTACTCTTTCGCGAGACACTGCGTCCGTCGCGTGATATTCTTTCAATCATGTCCTATAGCAGCATTAACAATGCTCCAAAAAAATGATTAATGTCCCCGTCGGCGACGTATCCGCTACATATCGACTTTTCTTTATCGTTTCAGGCCGATCTCGCGCTAACAGCAGTGCCACCGACGAAGGAAAAAGGAAAGGAAGACGATATTAATCATGTCGTAGTAATCGCGGCTCTCCGTGCCAGGAAAATAAGAATAATTCGCGTTCCGAATAATCACGGGATATTTCAAACGTCGATCATGTTTCCGTATTTCCGAAGACGTAAAAGAGTCCTGACAGTTTCATTTTAGCACGCGCAAACGGGACATTTAAATAAAAAAATAAAAAATAAAAAAGATAAAAAAATAAAAAAACAGTGACACTCCTGGTTTCGTGTATCGCCATATAAAAAATTGAAAACCGCTCGAACTGCTGCGTGACAAACAATTGATATTTGGAGATCGTAGCAATCATGGTTTTCGAAGCACGATGTCTATGGTCGTGAGCTGCCATTTTCAACGGGATCAGCGTCGCAGTGAGCACAGTTAAAGAACACGAAACAGGATCTAAGTTCTCTTCCAGGGGAGTTCACCTTCATTTTATAGTAAGTCTTACGCGAAGATGATTGCTAAAGCGTAAATGTTTAAGATGCAAAGTACATTACTTCGCAAAAAAAAGTGCCATTAATCCAGATGCGGCGTCCTTCTGGTAAGCAATTTGAATTCCCCGGGGAATTATTTCGTAACGTGTGTAATGTAATGCAGTTTATTGCTGTTCATTTAAAATATGCTGCCACAGCTTCCCAGAACTGGTGTTCGGGATTCACCTCCACCTCGGATCCTGAATATTTCCTGTAAAAATATACGAGACTGCTAAAAATAACTTTCATAGTATCCAAATTGATTTAGAGTCTCTGTAACATTATAATATATTATAGTATGTAATATGTTATAATATTATTATATTATTATTTATTGTTATTATTAAGATAATAATAATAATAATAATAATAATATTAGAATATTATTTTACTATTATATTATATTATATATTAGTATTATAATATTATAACATACTATGTATTATGATATGTATTTATTATAATACATTATAACATTTCATGCACTCTAAATCAATCTGGTTACTATGAAACTTATTTTAAGTCATCTCGTATATTTTAGCAGGAAACATGCTGCATCCAAAGTTATAGTGAATCCCAAACAAATATTATTATAGTATTATAACATATTATATTATATTATACAATTCTGTACACATATAGAAGAAAATGTAAAGTTACCATTTTTCACATTATTTTAGGTATTTTTTAGGAAAATGATGACAATAATTAATTTTAAAAATATTAAAACCTAAATAATGCCAATTGAAACAAGAAAAGATATGCTTTACAAACAGCGCATAAATATTAAATGATCATGCCTTCTTTTAAAATACATTCTGAACTCGCTTTAACTTCGGCTAACAAATAGGGTATATCTGTACCGCAAAAGAAGTTTCCTCTTTCCTGTACATACGTTCCCTAAGCGTGTGTCGCATATTTTAAACGATTACATTTATCAAAGAAGGAAGGCAGTGGTCATAAATGAAATTCCTGTAAGTTACCCTACTTTGTCAAGGACAGCTTCGAGATCAGAATTTAAGATTAGCAGACTTCTTTCTTTTTCGCCCGCTGTTCCAGAGAACTTCTCTCTGATCAAAAACTATAAATCGAAGATCCGACGACGTTGAAACAAAACAAGCTCAACATCTTAATTATTAACGAGATAAGTCGAAAGAGTGTACATTCGTTGAAACACTAATGAGATTCGTTATCTGATAGTTCAACGCGTTAAGTGCCGAATATCGCGACTCCCAAAAAATTCTCTCAATATCAAAAATCATTCAACCAGTTAGCTGTTTTTGACTAACTGGTTCAAAAGGATACACGAGGAGTTAAAAAAAACACACACACATTCGATATTTATATGGTACACGGTGTATAGGATACGCTGTGCCGTGTAAAAAACCCTCAGTGAACATAGGTCGAAAGGTCGACCGTTTCAGAAATATAAACATTTCTATTTGCTGGCACCGTGATTGACGTACTTGCTTCCATCGCGCGTGACGTTTACTTCAGTGTTTCTAAATTGCGTTCTGAATGTCCTCATTGCCGACGGCAGATTTCATCGAGAATCAGTCGGCTGTGAATCGACGATAGTGGATCTTATTAGCGTTGCATCAATATTACACACATTTACTATCAATCGCGACGCTACTAGCAAACGAAAATGTTTGTATCACAGAAACGGTTGACCTTTCGACCTGTGCTTACTAAGGCTGTTTCACTTGTCAGCATAGTGTGTCCCATATACCAAACAAATATTGAATGCTTCTCCTTCGACACTCGGTAAACTCTGAGATTCTTTATTAAATCATATATTTCATAAAAATGTTGTATTTCAAGAAAATACGCAATTTAAACGAAATTACCGTCGCAAATACTAGTTTAACCCTTGTGTATTCGAAACATCCAAATAACATTCGGTTTCCGCAATACGTTACAATAAAAATGAATACCAAATTCTAATAAATAGACCGCGGATCTAACGCGTTTATGGCAAAATTTGGTAGTTACAATTTAAAATAGCGCAAAGATTAAAGGAACTTTGAAATGTCAATCTATTAAATCTTTGATCTATTAAAATGATTAAAGACAGATTAAAGCCTTGCGACTTAGCTTCTATATTTTACAATCGATGCAATTTTTATTCTGCGTAAAAATCCGACGCTGCACTCGACGGCGTTGAAATCGTATAACTACAGTAATGTCTCTCTAATTGTCGCTCAGATTGTCCACGAAAAAGGACAATTTGGGAAGTGGAGATACGATTATTCGAGTCTTGCGGCTCGTTTTTATAGTTACAAATTGTCAACAACTATAAAAATGAGCCGCAATGCTCGAGTAATTGCATCTCCTCTTCCCAAAGTTAGGGAGACATTACTGTACCACTAAATGCACAAAGATCCGCAGTCTATCGTCAACGAATCCACACCGAATATCGATGAGAGATGATTTTCGAAAATCTGATTTGCGCACAGAACCGTGAAAATGTCGCTGGTCAACTTCACCTTGCCGTATCAGCCGGCAACGCCCACGCCGTTCTTTTACGGTGGCCAAACCGGAGGGCATCCGTCAGTGAACAACCTTCGTTTGAACGCGGTGCTTCCGCCAGCGCCGGCCCCAAACTTCAACGACCGCGAACCGTTCCAAAACGAGCCGTACATACCGCCCGCCGGTTATCAGCAGCAGAAACAGCATCAATCGAGCTTCAATAGGCAAACGAATTCGAACCAGTACGTCGAGCACTCGTCCTTCTCGTCGTCTCAGGACACGAGATACGACAATTACAATCAGGACTTCAGGAGGACTCAGCCGAGGCAGCAGCAGCAGCAACAGCAACAGATGAGACCGCCGTCTTCGATTCCTCAGCAACAGCAACGGGCCCAANATTCTAATAAATAGACCGCGGATCTAACGCGTTTATGGCAAAATTTGGTAGTTACAATTTAAAATAGCGCAAAGATTAAAGGAACTTTGAAATGTCAATCTATTAAATCTTTGATCTATTAAAATGATTAAAGACAGATTAAAGCCTTGCGACTTAGCTTCTATATTTTACAATCGATGCAATTTTTATTCTGCGTAAAAATCCGACGCTGCACTCGACGGCGTTGAAATCGTATAACTACAGTAATGTCTCTCTAATTGTCGCTCAGATTGTCCACGAAAAAGGACAATTTGGGAAGTGGAGATACGATTATTCGAGTCTTGCGGCTCGTTTTTATAGTTACAAATTGTCAACAACTATAAAAATGAGCCGCAATGCTCGAGTAATTGCATCTCCTCTTCCCAAAGTTAGGGAGACATTACTGTACCACTAAATGCACAAAGATCCGCAGTCTATCGTCAACGAATCCACACCGAATATCGATGAGAGATGATTTTCGAAAATCTGATTTGCGCACAGAACCGTGAAAATGTCGCTGGTCAACTTCACCTTGCCGTATCAGCCGGCAACGCCCACGCCGTTCTTTTACGGTGGCCAAACCGGAGGGCATCCGTCAGTGAACAACCTTCGTTTGAACGCGGTGCTTCCGCCAGCGCCGGCCCCAAACTTCAACGACCGCGAACCGTTCCAAAACGAGCCGTACATACCGCCCGCCGGTTATCAGCAGCAGAAACAGCATCAATCGAGCTTCAATAGGCAAACGAATTCGAACCAGTACGTCGAGCACTCGTCCTTCTCGTCGTCTCAGGACACGAGATACGACAATTACAATCAGGACTTCAGGAGGACTCAGCCGAGGCAGCAGCAGCAGCAACAGCAACAGATGAGACCGCCGTCTTCGATTCCTCAGCAACAGCAACGGGCCCAAGTCGACAGGGACCAGAGCAACCAGAGGATGTCGAGGATGCCTGAGGAAGAGAGCTATCCTGAGAGACCGAACGGGTAAATATCTTTCAATATACAGGGTGTCCCAAAATTATTGTGCAAGCGGGAAATGAGGGGAAAATATATTTCGTTCGCATACAAAATTTCATTGCTTCTCGGTCAATTGTTAGCGCAAGATCAATGAGACTTGAATAAATAAATTTTATTTAGCGCCAATGGATAGCTGAGATCCTTCCGATTAAAAAGAGTCCGAACACGATGCCAATCGGACTACTTTTATTGAAAAATGTATTATTATAGATCGTTTATTAATTAAGTCGAGGATAGCTTAAATCGATGCGATTTACATCGTGCGTGGACTCATTTTAATCGGAAGAATGCCTATCTGTTGATCTATCTATCTATTAATCTACTATTATGAAAGTAAGCCGAAAATAATATGCGATTGGAAATTAAATTTTGACAGCGATATATGATTGAAAAATAAATTTTCTTTGAAACACGTTTATTTCTTACCGATCACGGTATGCCTGTAACGATTATCCTCGCGTGACACCCGATAAACTGCATATCAATGTTTTCATCGGACAGGAACAGTCATTGCTTAAGCAGCGAAAGTGGTTTACACAGTCACGTTAATTGTCCGTACAATTATTTATATAACGATCGGTTGAACGGTTCCTTCCTTGCGTGCCGTGCATTCCTAATGACTATCTGACGTACATCTGACGTGCTCGTTTATGGAGTCCCATTCCGGCGGCCCGGCAATTATGTCATCGATTTACAGGCGGCTCCATTTTGTGCGAACCATTTTTTCGCATTGCTGTTAACAGTAACTTTATTTTGTTTCAGATCAATGCTAAATTTATCCAGATCATTTTACATTTATTTTACGATCGCCGTAACTATAAATTTGATAAATAAATTAAAGTTTACAATAAATGTCCTTTACAAATTGGGCTTCAAATTATATGCATCTACGGATGAAACGGTTGATTATAAAACTGTTATTTATTAGCTGTATTGTTAACTGTGTTGTTATGTGTATTACAAAATATTGACAGGAAAACGTAATTTTTATTTCGTTTCTGTATCATGCGAATTAAAAAGATTTCAGTTTGCACAAAAATCCGCATCTATAATCGTTGCGAGTTAAAAATCAAGCGAAAAAGAGATCCAATATTTAAATTAATTAAAAAAGGCTGCAATTTGAAAATTTATTTTGAAAATAATAAATAATATTTATTTCTCAAATAATTTTGCCTTTGCATTACTGTCGAATAAAAAAAAAGAAGATTGAGAAGTATAACTCTTTAGTAGATTGTTGCTTTTAATAGTTTAATCTTTATATCTTTTTGTAGTTCAATCTTTAAAATCGAATCACCGAAAGTGTTTCACATATTATGAAACTGGTAATATGACGTCATGTCTGTCGTCGCACAACTTATAGACACGAAAGTTATTCAACGTTTATCGAGTGTTTCTTTTTTTGTTTTTGCAAAGATCGAGATAACATATCTACCTTGTATAATTGATGGAAAATTCCCTGATTAAACGTCCCTTTCTTTGAGACTCGACTTCTGCGCGCCCATTAACTCCATGAAATTCCCCATTTTTTTGGTAGAACTTTCTACACCTTGCTCTTGAGCTACACCGTGCGTTAATTGCTTTTCATTATTACGTAACGTAAGCGTTCTCGTTATCGCGTGTAATGCGTCAAATTGCGAAAAATACTTTCGTCCGATCGAACTTCTTGCGAGGAATTCGTCGGAAACGTTTAAAGTATTCCGCGATGATTATATCGGGAGCTCGTTATACCTCTCGTCGGATTACGAAGAGGCTGCGGGGTTGATATAATCGCGGCGCAATCGGTCGCTAAATATTGATTAAACTGTAACAGAGTTCTTAATTAATGCTCTCTGAAATTAAATAAAATTCTGTTTCTTTCGTGAATAGTTTCGATGCTTAATTTTACCGTGCTGTAACTTTGAGAACTTTTGTATAACTAATGAAATTTATTTGATTGAAAGTGCACAGGAAATTCTGCTTCTTTCACGGACGATTCGGTACTTAATTTTACTTTTGTATAACTAGTGAAGCTCATTTGATTGGAAGTACAGATAAAATTAATTTGTCTATAGTTTAACTTTCCGAAATTGGTTGCTATGAACGAAACCTTGATTAAAAGCACACGTAAAATACTATTAAAAATTCTCAGCAAATTGTAACTACTTTCGTAGCATTTTTAAAAAAATTTAGCACGAATGCACAAAGCGATTGTTAATTATGGCATGGGATTTCGATGATTGAAGGTACACGAGAGTTAGCGGCGAAGGTGGTCCAGGCACGAAAACTTCGATCCACGCTGTCCTGGATTACGACGACGATTTCGATGACTATTACGACGACGACGAGCAAGACATTCCAAAAGACGCCCACGTCACGCCCATCCAAGGCCCAATTTTTTTGAAAAATGGTTCAGTCCCCGTGGTGCCGTTATACTCTTACCCACAATTGAACAATGGTACCTTCGTCCAGATACCGGTGAGTTCGCCTACTACATTCGTAGAATGACTAACACTCCTTCCCTTTCGATTTAAAACATTCCAAAGTATTTTATTTGTGAATTACCATTACGTGAAACATAATATAATTTAATTACTAGACCGCGGATCTTTATGCGTATTCGCAATTTCGTACGCCATTTTACTGAAATTAGCATTAAAGAAAAGTTTCCTTCGTCACCTAAACGATTACCAACTATGAAAAGAAATGAAAAGAAAAATGCTATTAGACTTGGCTAATTTATACCTTTTCTTGCATTTTAAAAATTCGATCTATTAAACACATTTTACAGAAATTGGAATTTTTGTTAAGCAAATGCTTTTCAAATTGTTCGCGTAAGCTTAAATTTGATTGGTCAGATTTGATTTCGACGGTCTTCGAAGTTCGATTCCTGAAATATAACTTAATGTAATTAACGTTAGTAACTTAAGACTGGATTTTCCTTGTCGAAGGAATTTTAAGCAAAAGAAACCGCCTTCGAGCTATTCGAGCGTTCTTTCGGAAAAGGAAGAAAGGGTTCAGCAGAGCTAGCCAATAGTTCTATTGAAAGGCGAAGAAACCTCTTAAGGTCGAACTCCTTGCAAAAATATGCAGCTCAGCTATACGGTATGCAATTTGCATATGCTCTCCGTATTTGGATGTTCCTCTCCTTTCTCCTTATCTATCGATGTAAAGACACTCGTTACCTCGTGTAAGAATGGCCATATAGTATGAGTTTTACCTTGCGCCATTTGTAGTACCTCCGTGCGCGCATTTACATAGCGCCGTGAATATGCTTCTGCATTATAAAAATCGTTTACGATCACTTTTCCTGGACGCAGACCATCGTATTCGCGAATTCAACACTTAATTATTATCCGCATTGCTGTTTCAAACCGCGAGCCCGTGTAAACACTGTGTCATGTTAATGCAATTGCATTACAATTGCAAATGCAGTTCCAATATTCATGTGCCGTTTGTTTAAGCAAATTCGAATAACGTAACTAATTGCGAGATATTACATAAGAATTTTAGGTTCGGTTATTAACTTAAAAGTTAAGTAAACAATGCTTCTATTTGGATTCGGAAATGGAAACAATTGAACAACGAACGCCGAACTAACTATACATTTTTAATGCGCGATATCGCGATTTGATATTGTTAAATTCATTTTGTAAAACTACGAATAAATTCGTAAATAATTTCATCGAACACCTTCGAACAAGTAAATTCGGTTTCAGATTCTACTGACAGAGGAAAGTTAGCGATTATTTAAACAGTTTTAGCATTTCTCTGGCTCGAAAATTTGAGGAAACGAAGGTCTAAATGATACGTCATTGTATAAAGTATATTTTTAGATTTTTGGTAGCATTTTCTAACGTTTCCGTCCAAATAGTTCTAAAACAACTATGCGGATCACAAATAATACATGTCTGACACGCTGGCAGTGCAATAGAGAATAAATACTATTTTCGAGGCAGCGAACGCGTCTAAAAATATTCTGCAGGCCCGTGCAAACACATCTCAACAAACGCGACAGTAATGCGAGATTAAACGTGCGCACGTACGAAAGTCAATTGCAAGCGTTCGCAGCCATGACACTGTCGATTCTATAACGTTGTTTTGTTCATGCAATTCTTACAATTGCTGAGTAACAATGGCGTGACTCATAGGCTGCTGGAACGGAAGAATTGTGAGTAGAAAGTATTAGCGAGTTGCTGCTCGCACACAACCTACGATCATAGAATAGATAAGCAGGTTTCGTCAAGCTTTAGTCCCCCTGCATCAAGATCTAGCGTAGATCAGGGAAGTTCCAATAAATCTGTTCGACGATTATGATCTCGAAGTTCAAAAAGTGTATCGCAACCTTCGCGATGATCGTGAACCACGTACGTTTTTCCCCCCGGTAAAATAATTGACGATTTTGCCAGCAGTGAAGCTGTTTCGAAGAATTCAGAAAATATTTCAAACTTTCAGAAGCTTCGAGAACATTCGGGTCAATTCTTTCTCCCTGATAGAACAATTATTATTCGCTCAGTTAAAATCGTTCTTTAGTCGATAGCGATTTCCATTTGCGAAGGAGATAATTTATTTATTAAATATTTACATAGTTATATATTTTTATCATCGATATTCTTCTCTGAACGCTTTTGTAAATAATGACCGCAGTAGAGTTGCTGTTATCATTTTGTTACGCATTTATTTATAGATTTTAAGGAACAGATTTTTAAGAAAAAGTAAAATTCCGTGAAACAAAGACATCCATCCTTTTCCATATCGACTTTCTGTGTTAAATTAATTAACATAGAAAATTGCTACTAAATCGTATCAATCATTGATAGGTGTAAATCGTTTGGGAAAACGTGACAACAGAAATAATTGTACTTAAACAAGAACATAACATCGAATCACATTTTTTAATGAAATTTACGTCTTCAATGAAATCTTTGGACTTTATCGAACCGAAAAAATATCGTACACCAAAATTTAAGAGATCACTGCAAGCGGAAGGTTTCGGTCCTCAAGTCAATGTAATGATCGGTCACTAAAACGATTTTCCGTCATATTATACAAAAACATGTTCACGCAAAGAAAACGAACGATGCTCGTCGATAGTAAAACCTTCAAGCTTTCGAACGAGTCTAGAATTATTATAATACAACCCTCGTCCACGAAATTATGGCAGTTCAAATAACGAAGAATTCGTCGTCGAGCATAGGTGCGCGACAACTTTTTGAAGTCACTGTAGGCATTTAAGCCTTCCGTCGGTGTTCGTTCATGTACCTTCGAAGAACACGGCAGCCAATGGACTCCCACTTGAGGTACGATGGCACACGATCGAGGATCGTTCGAAAGGTGATCGAACGCGGTCGTGGATACAGGAACACTCAAAGACTGTATCGCGGTGGCGTGACATTTCCCCGCAGCACCCATGACCCCGGGTATCTTCCTTAGAATCTCGCAAACGTACGATCAGCTGGGTGCATGCACCTCGGTTACACTTGCTCAGGTGTTTCCCTCGTGTCCCCTTTTGCCGCTATCGCTGCTCATTTCTCCTGCTGCGGATCCATACGTTCTGGAAGAATTTCCAGCACGACACCGCCATGACGCCGGGGTCGATCGGCGTGCTGACATTGAGACCGTAACCCTTCGACTGCATTGACCATCCTGGCCTCCAGTTTCGCTCGTCGAAGATAAATACGAAACTACTGATCGTCAAAATGTTCGCGATGTTTAGGCCTTATATTAGGTCTACCGGAAACTTCTGTCTGATAATGTCATTGCAAATTTCAATAGATATGCACATATTCATTTGAGACATATATTTTTGAAAAATGTTGCTCACAAATTGCCATCACACTGGCAAGAGGTCATAAGTAACGACGGAAATTATATTGTACAATAAATATTACTAAATTTATGAAAAANATATTATACAAAAACATGTTCACGCAAAGAAAACGAACGATGCTCGTCGATAGTAAAACCTTCAAGCTTTCGAACGAGTCTAGAATTATTATAATACAACCCTCGTCCACGAAATTATGGCAGTTCAAATAACGAAGAATTCGTCGTCGAGCATAGGTGCGCGACAACTTTTTGAAGTCACTGTAGGCATTTAAGCCTTCCGTCGGTGTTCGTTCATGTACCTTCGAAGAACACGGCAGCCAATGGACTCCCACTTGAGGTACGATGGCACACGATCGAGGATCGTTCGAAAGGTGATCGAACGCGGTCGTGGATACAGGAACACTCAAAGACTGTATCGCGGTGGCGTGACATTTCCCCGCAGCACCCATGACCCCGGGTATCTTCCTTAGAATCTCGCAAACGTACGATCAGCTGGGTGCATGCACCTCGGTTACACTTGCTCAGGTGTTTCCCTCGTGTCCCCTTTTGCCGCTATCGCTGCTCATTTCTCCTGCTGCGGATCCATACGTTCTGGAAGAATTTCCAGCACGACACCGCCATGACGCCGGGGTCGATCGGCGTGCTGACATTGAGACCGTAACCCTTCGACTGCATTGACCATCCTGGCCTCCAGTTTCGCTCGTCGAAGATAAATACGAAACTACTGATCGTCAAAATGTTCGCGATGTTTAGGCCTTATATTAGGTCTACCGGAAACTTCTGTCTGATAATGTCATTGCAAATTTCAATAGATATGCACATATTCATTTGAGACATATATTTTTGAAAAATGTTGCTCACAAATTGCCATCACACTGGCAAGAGGTCATAAGTAACGACGGAAATTATATTGTACAATAAATATTACTAAATTTATGAAAAATCTATTATTTCCTTTCATTTCTCAAACGGACAGAACTTTCCGGTATACCTTATATTATTAAAATCTTCCTAATTTTCCTTCAGCTTGTAAACGAAAATGGATCATTTGGAGAGAGGTGATACGATCGTTCGAGCCCCGCGGCTCATTTTTATAGTTGGCGATCGTCTAGAATTATAAAAACGAGGTGCAAGACTCGAATAATCGCGTCTCCTCTTCCAAATTGTAAATTTTTGTTTACAAGCTGAAAGAAAATTGCGAAGAATTTACTGCATATTTGAGGAAAGTAGGATCTCATAATTTGTTCAATAAATAAAGCTTTCATTCTTTAGCGTGCTCCTGTATGGAATTCTTAATTATTACATTTTTACGAGGTTTTCGTAACTTTTATTCTCAAACCTTACGAAATCTAATATGATAAGGTTTACTGTACAAAATGGCATTTTTAGTAAATGCAGTATAGCTTTTATTAAATAAAATGATCGAATGGAATTGTATGCTAAATTTTAAAAAGTTACTTGAAAAAGGAATTTACGTTTTTGTAGAAAAAAGAATTTGCGTAAAAAGTGAGAATAAAAGAATATGCTAAACCCTTTGCACTCGGATGTCCTCCCTCAGGAATCTATTGGTAATTATGGCACTATCAAAATTCCAAATTATCAATGCAATCTTACATCAGATTCTACTTAAATGGTATAATTATTTCCAA